TCATGTGGAATCCGAACTGGGGCCCTGCTGCTCAGAGCTGGCGTCCCAAGCCAACTCTTAGCTAACCAATGCGCCACTTGGCCGGCCCTGACTTTTGGTTTTAATGTCAGAGTTTTGAAAGTATGAACCTGAGTTTTCAAAATTATTCTTGATCCTGTTCCACTCATTATCTTAGGCAAAATAATGTCATTAACTTTAAAAATAATAATTATGGTATAAAAGTATTATGTGCTTGTGAAAAGTGAAAACCCTACAGGAGGGCTTGAAGTGTGTAAGTAAAAGTTCTCCTTCACTCATATCCCAGAGCCATGCCCCAGATGTAAAACTACTGTTGGTAGTTTTTCATGAATGTTTCCAGTTAGTTTCTATACATATAAAATATGTATTTTATATGTATTTGTACATGTGTTTCTTTTTTGTTGTTATTCATAATAAGGAAAATATATAATTTTGGTTTGACAGCTTTGATATTTTATATTATTAGCACTTAGCAGTCCATCTGTTTAAAGGATACTGAGAATATCATTGTATTGATAGTTCATGAATTATTTAAAATTGTCCCATATTGATTGCCATTTAGATTATTTCTCATTTGTAGCTATTTTGCATAATACTGTAATGGATAGCCTTGTATGTATGCATTTTGGTGTTTTTCTAGAACCTCTTGGATAAATTCATAGCGGTGAAATTGTAGAGTCAATAGAGCATCTATCATTTTTTAAACTTTGAATATAGACACATTACATTGGTTTTAGTTTACATATTATAAAAAGACATGACTTGAATAATTTACTCAAGTTATAGATGCCTAATGTTTAAATAGGCTTGCTGTAGCATTTTATACATGGTGCTTGATCATTGAGGATAGTTTTTTGTGTCCAAGATAAATTGTATGGATTTCTAAAATTATATTTTTAATAATACAGTTCCAGAGAACTGGCAGCTTGTGTATCATATGTTAATTCTCCTCTCTCCCAGAACTTGGACTTTAATTTTTGCCCTTTAAAGCTTACTCTATCAATCATGTTGTGTAATTTTTTAAATCCCAGTGTCTTCTTTACCCAAAATTAAATGTCTTTTTTTCCATGAAAAAAAGGCGAAGATATTGGAAGACTTGCAATGTAGCTTAGCCAATTTATCTTTTTATCTCATTGGCATTGTCTCACCATTCCTCTCAATCTTAGGTGTTTTATAAGCCTTTTGGTTGAAGAGACTTTTAAAAAGGAAATAATGTTCAATTCCCTGTGTATTTTCACCTCATAAAAAATAGAAAAATGAAGAGATACCCTTTAGATAAAATGAGCTTTTCTGTATTGTTATTCCTAGCATTTTCCCCTCAAGAGGGCCTTGTGCAAACGACCTGTTTAAAAGTTTGATTACAAAAGAAGCTTAAATCTTTAAACAAAACCAGCCCCCTCTCCAAAAAATGAAAATATTTAATCTGGTCCAAAATTATCAAAATATGTTTACTTACATGATAGAAAAGGCCATTTCCTTCTTCATTTTTAATAAGTTTCTGTTGGTTATTGAAAGAAGTTCAGTTCAGGATAGGATTGCATGATAGAAAGTGCACTTATACTTATGACTTGATCTGTTTAGCATAGGAAACTTAAATTTCACCACAAGAGACTATTCTTGATTGTAATTTTGTGCATTTATTATAAATGTATTGCTTTATGACATTTTGTAATTTGAGAAATACATCATCAGAGCAGAAGGAGCTATAGTTCATATTGAATATAGCAAGTATGTTCAAATATTGCCAGATCCAACCTATGGAAGAATTAATTGTGGGTGCAAGTTATGGCCCTAACAGCACTTACCTTTGATGGATTCAGTCTGTCTGATTCAATCTGTTTGATCAGACATATTTGATAAAAATGATACAGCAAAAAAACCAGATTTGTTGTGGAGAATAATATAATTTTTTAAGCTTAAATCTTCTGTCTTGAAATTAATTTTTCTCCTCCTTCAACAGGACACCTTACAGGAAAACATGAAAGACATTTCTCCATCTCAGGATGCCCCCTCTATCATAACCTCTCAGCTGACGAATGCAAGGTAATTGTGTTCTCATTTATTCAACATACACTTATTGAGTACTTAACCATTGCTCAGTACTTTGCTAAACAATAGGGATCCAGTATGAACCATGGGCAAGGTCATTGCTCTTGAATTCTAGTGGAGAAGACATCATTAAAAAACAACTTAAAAAAAAAAATAGACGGGTAAAAGACTTAATTATAGTATTGGGTTGTCAGAAAAGTCATGACGTATTTTTTTCTGTTTTTCGTTGCAAAAATGTGTCGTGACTTTTCTGACAACCCAATATATAACAAGTGCTTTGGAAGAATTTAACAAGATTATAGAATATTTGGAACATCACCCTCTAGTGAATTATTTTTCTTTGAAAATTAACTTCTAAAGACTATAGGGACCTTTTCCACCAAGGACTTAATTTGCATAAATATGTGGTCTCAATATTTATGCATTAGGTTCTCTTATAAATCTATGAATACGTTTTGCTTTTAAAAAGTTTTCCATAATTCTCTTTTTCTCTTTTTCCATCTACTACTATGGGATACTTTTCCTTTTTGTTACTCTCAATCACACCTCTTGGCATTTTTTTTTAAGTTTATCGGGGTGACAATTGTTAGTCAAGTTACATACGTTTCAGGTGTACAGTTCTGTAATACGTCATCTATATATCACATTTCTTGGCTATTTCTTGTTTTAAATTCTTGAAAAATATAGTCCGCAATAACCTTTGGAATTTTTGGAATAATGGAGTTAGGAGTAGAGCCTAAGATCCTATTTTTATGTTTCTGTGTGGGTTGCTGCTAGGAAGGATGGAAACAAAAAAACCAATTATGGGGAAGCAAGAGTTGAAAATGTTATTAATTAAATGGGTTGCTTGGGTAGTATTTGGACAAGTTATCCAAGCTGATTAGACCAAAGTAGTAATTGTTTTTGTAGTTGTTATTTTGCTCATAAGGCTAGGGTCACAGGTTTATTCCTGTCTGAAGCAATTTCATCCTGAGAAAAATTAGATTCCCTAGCTAACATTACTTCTCCCTGATTCAGAAATTTTTTCTCTTATTTACAAGTCGACCACAGGATGGACTATTTCTTTATATGTTTAGTCTTTCAGCACAGTAGTGTACTTTCAAAGCCTATATGGAAGGTTGAGAACACTTAGTCTTACTTTCTTCATCCCAACCCTCTTGTATAAGCAAGGCAGTTTTTTCTGCTTTGTGTAAGAGTAAGTGATAGGTGTTCTTATGATCTTCCCATTAGTCTGAGACCAGATCAAAATAGGTACAGCTCTGCCAACATCTGCATCAAAGCTGACAAGCTATTAGGTTCTTCTTTCTCTGAAAATAGCTGTGATCTATGTGATCTCTACCACTTATCTCTAAATAGAATGATCTGATACTATCAGTGGTTTTACATAAAAGTCTTCCTAAAATATTAACTTTTAAATTTGTTGGCTTGTATGAACACGTTACCTTAAGGAATTTATTTTTTTAAAAGCAAAATTTTAGTTTGGGGAGGAAAATTCTGAAAAAAGGAAAGCATTTTCTGAATTTTTCCTCTTTCGTGCTCTCTTTCTTTATACGGGAAATCAGGTTCAGCATAATCTATCTTTATGACTGGAACTTATGGTTGCAGGACGGGAATTTCTGGAAAATACATCTTTTTATTACATTTAAAATCCCAAATGGAAAGATTAGACTAATTCCTCACTTTTATTAAAAGCTCTAAAGTTTTTAAAGTACTTGCATAAACATGATTACTCTGAGTTTCCTGGTAAACTCTTGCCATCAGTGACATGACCATTTTTATCTGGTCCTAGATTTCTATGACTACATGTGCCAAACACTGTTAAAGGTATCCGAGGATTCTATAAATGAGATAAAAAGCCGCTGCATTCATGGAGTGTTTACATTCTTTTTTTTTTNGCTCCAGGTTGAGCTGTTGTTCAGCATCTTAGCTGTGGAGGGCAGTGTCACTGGCCCTCATATGTGGGATCCAAACCGGGGCCCTCTGGCATCCCAAGCTAGCTCTTAACCAATGCGCCGCTCGGCCGGCCCCTGTTGTTGTTTTTAAATGGACCCTAAGTGTAATGCTGAAATACTGTCTAGAATATGCCTTACAGGGAAAATGTGTCAAACAGGCTTCATTCAGGCATAGGTTATTGTGCTGTTGGCCATGAGTTCAGTGTTACTGAATCAACAATATAAAACAAGGTGTGCTGTTAAACAGAAATCCACAAACAAGGTTATGTATTGATTCATTGATGAAAATGACCAGAGGCTTGTAGAAACCTAAACCTCTATTTCCCTAGGAGCAGAGTTTCAGTGTTTACTAATTCAGTGTCCGTGGTGACTTTATAGAACATAACTACTGTAAATAAGGAGAATCAACTGTATGCTATTCAGTGTTAACTGTCCTGTGACATTTTAGTCAACATTAGAATTCTTAGAATTAGCCTTCCAATCCTTTCAGTGTTAAGTCATTTTTAAGCAGCCTGGGAAGAGATGAATGAGGAAGTGGCATAATCCACTAAGGGAGGGGAGGGCAGACTGTATCTTTCTGTGGAGGGCAGTGTCACTGGCCCTCATATGTGGGATCCGAACCGGGGCCCTCTGGCATCCCAAGCGAGTTCTTAACCATCGCGCCCCTCGGCCGGCCCTAGGTGGAGCTTTCTTGAAGCAATTCCAGTTAATAAATATTTGGATTTACGTGTGACAAATTGGGACATGATTCTTGAGTTGACCAAAAGTCACAGTAAAATACATACATATGCTTTTTAAACGTATTGATATAAAACCTTTCAAGAATTCACCCATTTATAGGAATGGCCGACTGGCTACATTAAATCTATTAGCAATTAAAGGTAAGGAAAGGGGGTACCTTGTGACCAAGTGCCCCCCACCCCAGGCTTCTTGCTGTTTAACCAGGCTACCTTGCCTTCCCTTTTTTTTTTTGGCCACAGAAGGACTTGCTCCTATTTCCTTACGTAACAAAGCAACACCTGGAGAAGTTACTTGTGAAGGTGAGAGTAAAGCACTCCTACCTTTACTCAGCAACTCTGAGTTGCTGGAAATAAGCTGCTTAACGAATTTCCTGTTGTCGCAAGACTTCTTATAATAAGCAAGGGTATTTTATTGATCTGGCTTTTACATAGTAGATGGTTTTAATCTTCTGAGCTGAAACGGTGCCAGAATGTAACCCAGAAAACTTGTTCCAAACTGCTATAAAAATACCATAAATATATGACAATGATTTAGGAGCCTTTGCTTTACTGAAAAAATATCTCTGTGTTGCTGCATGTTCTCAAGTGTGTCCAACTATCTGTAATCTCAGCTGATTAAATTTGACTTGTGATTCCTTTTCCCTTTTCAGCAGCAGTCTTGTTGGGAAGGTTTGTTTCCCTGATGTGAATTCCATTCTCTTGCAGGCTAAGTGTGTGTGGAAACACCCACCCGGTGATGAGATCTATCGCAAAGGTTCAATATCCGTGTTTGAAGTGGATGGCAAGAAAAACAAGGTAAAAAGGAGTCGCATAAGAAAGAGGCAGTACTGTTGTATATTCACAGGTTTCAGAAATTTGTTTTTGTCTCCACCTCACCTTATAAAGAAGATAGAACTCTTCTATTGGCAAAATATGCAACTCCTGCTTCATTGACAATAATATGATCTTTATCTTGAGGCCCTTATGTGATAAACTCAGGAATCACTGACCCACACATGAACTCTGTTTCTCTGCTTCCAGATCTACTGCCAAAACCTGTGCCTGCTGGCCAAGCTTTTTCTGGACCACAAGACATTATATTATGATGTGGAGCCCTTCCTGTTCTATGTTATGACAGAAGCAGACAACACTGGCTGTCACCTGATTGGATATTTTTCCAAGGTCAGCAGGATCTGGAGATTAAGAAGCTAATGGCCAGAACAGGGTGATTGATGCTGGCACATGGGGACTAAGGAAGAGGCAGTACTCTGGATATTGTCAGCCCTTCCCTTGAAAAAAAAGGAAAATCCGTATCAAATATTGTTTAATGAAAATGTGCCATTCTTTATTTAAAAAGCTTCTGGTTTATTCTTTTCTGGACTTGTGGGTTGTAGCTGCCTATTAATTACTGTCCAGGGCCCTGCCTACTAACCCACAAGCCCACATCTTGTAGTCAAGCCAAACCTCCTGGCTTTGCCTTCTATTAGCTCAAAACCAGGAATATATTCCTTTTCCCTAGTGCTCTAGCTGGATTCTTTCAATGGTGAAGCCACTGTGCTTTTAAAGACTCATGGTCAGGTTTTACTTATGACTTTTAATGTAACTTTTCTGAAATATAACTCACATACCACAATTCACTCATTTAAAGGTACAGTGGTATTTAGTATATTCACAGAACTATGCAACCACTGCGCAATCAGCATAATCAATTTTCATGACCTCAGTAAGAAAGCCAGTACCCATAAGCAACACTCCTCATTTCCACTCAGCCACTCCCAGCCCTTCTGTCTATAAATTTTCCTGTTCTGGACATTTCACGTAAATGGAATCATACAATATGTGATTTGATTGCTTTTGACCCCCTTCCAGAATGGGGACTTACTGTTTGGGATCCCTCCCTTCTCCAGGAGGCAGCTCCCTTTGGAAAAATTGCTTTTAAAGACAGCTGCTCGAGACCGACTCTTTTGTCTAAACCTTCTTGCCCTGTTCTGTGACTATAAAGAATCCAGAGGCAGCCAGCCCCCCCTTAAAACGAGACTGGAGGTCTCAGAGTAGTTTTGGAAACCCTGGGATTAATATCTTTGACCATCATTAAGGGTGTGTAACAGCTGTGAACCTGATAGCCACTCCCAGGATTGGTTAGCTAGGTACTTGGAAAGCAGCCTTATTGTGTATCTGTGGGACTGTTGACGCTTAATTCCAAACCCTCTTGACCTGCTTTTCTGTTTGTTCTTGATTTTAGGAAAAGAACTCGTTCCTCAACTACAATGTATCCTGTATCCTCACTATGCCGCAGTACATGAGACAGGGCTATGGCAAGATGCTCATTGATTTCAGTAAGTGAAACTGCTAAGCACCACATGGCAGGGACCACGTGAATATTGTTTGTATTTCTGTCCTATGGTTTCTACAACTCCTGGCATGTAGTGGGTTATACTGATATTTATTAGGTGAATGAATAAGTAGAAAAAACCTCAACACTGTCAGTGGGCCTGTTACACATTGAACACTCAACGAATACTGCACCCTGGGTTTGGTTCCTGATAGATAGTAGGAGATAATAGAGGAGAGTAAAGTAAGCTCTTTAGGATTATCCCAACTTGAGACTTAATGAACAATGCACACATGTGTAAGGCTTCAAATCTTTCCTGAATGTTAGGGATTTCGGTTTTGTAAGGACTTTTCTAGAGGCAGCCAGTATACCTGATAGAGGCTTTGGGCCTCATTATTTGTGGGTTCTGTATTTGGAGATTTGCCTATTCACTAGAATTTATGTGTAACCCAAGCTACTACTACTCTTGGCACTTTTGCAGTCATTCATGGACATGTGCACAACAGCAAAAAATAAGTCACCACACGTTCCCAGCCAAGGTCAAACACGGTGCCTTATTTCAGCTCTTACTGTAATCACGTGTTCTTTTTATGGTCTGTTAGAGCCACATTTTTCTTATTTGGGGGCTTTTTGTTGTTTTTATTTATTTTTTAAGATTTTATTGGGGAATTGGGGGAGGGAACAGCGTTGGGGAATCGGGGAAGGGAAAAAGACAAGTTCTGTCCTTTTGTTCTTCAGTCTAGTTGTGGAGGATGTTGCTTCACTGACCCAAGTTGGCACCATCATTGCACTCTTCCCGGGCAAGGCAGATCAGTCGCCGGCTTCTGGACTGCTGCTCAAGGCGGCTGCTGGCCACACACAGTAGCCCATGGCAACCCACTGCCACAGGGGCTGCAGCCTATGCCGTCGCCAGCGACTCACGGCAGCCCAGCTCCAGGTTGAGCTGTTGTTCAGCATCTTAGCTGTGGAGGGCAGTGTCACTGGCCCTCATATNACCACCAGGTTGAGCTGTTGTTCAGCATCTTAGCTGTAGAGGGCAGTGTCACTGGCCCTCATATGCGAGATCCAAACCGGGGCCCTCTGGCGTCCCAAGCCAGCTCTCAACCATCGTGCCACTCGGCTGGCCCAAAGAGTATTCACATTCTTATGGGGGGAGGCAAAATAACATAGAAATTAGTAAATAAGAATTTCATGTAGTGATAAATATGAGAAACAAAAAGACTAAAAGATACAAAGTGACTGTTTTGGGGGTGAGGGGGGATTGGCACTGCTTTTGTTGGGGTTGTTAAGGAAGACTTTCCTGAGGCGTGTGTGGCATTTGATCTGAGTCATGGCTGATGACAAAGAGGCAGTTGTGTCAAAATCTAGGAGGAGAGATCTAAGTAGAAGGAGGAGCAGGTGCAAAGGCTATGAGATGGGGGCAAACTGTTGGGTTTGAGAGACCGGAAGTGGCCAATGTGGCTGGATCATGATGAGAAGTGAGGCAGCGGGTCAGATCATGAAGGACTGCAGGCCGAGGCACAGGAGTATGTTTGTGTGCTGATGGCGTTGGGAAGCATCGGGAGGGCTTTAGCACAGGTGGGATGTAATTTCGTAAACCCTTTTTAAAATCGCAGCTTGCTAGTGTGTGGAGAATGGACTGGACGGGGCAAGAGTTGACTCGGTAGACTAGTTGGAATGCTCTTCCGAAGTTCAGGCCATAGATGGTGGCCTGGACTAGTGGAGACAGTAGGAATTGGTTGGATTCAGGATATATTTTGGAGGGGAGCTGCCTAATAGATTTGCTGATGGATTCAATGTGTGTGAGAGATGTGAGAGTAAGAGAAGCATCAAGTACAGCCTTCAAGTTTTTGACCAGATTGCTTGTTTAGAAAGCGTTGCTCTTTATTAATGTAGGAAGATTTGGGGTGGACTAGAGCCGTGGGAGAACACCAGTCTTCTATTTTGACCCTGCTGAGTTTTAATGTTGAAATTGAATAGGCAGTTGGATATGAGTCCTCAATTCCCAAGAGCTGAAAACAATTGCAGAGCTAATGTGGTTTGTCTAAGATCACATAACGACTAAGTTAAGTTTCCCTATAGACTTGACCCCGGTATCTGACATTTTCTTTGTACTTCTTCACTTTGTTCTTGTACCTCCTCACGCTGTTTCTTATTCATTGTATAGTGGAAAGAATCCAGGCTTAGAATTGTCAGACCTAATTAAAATCTTAGCTTTACCACGATTGAGCTGCCATTATTTTACTTCTCTGATTCTCAGTTCATGGCTGAGAAAACAGAACATGAAGCTTGTCTTATCTGTATCTTACAGACTTTGTGAGAACTTGAAGACCTTTTGAAAGTAAAAGTACCACGTAACTTCAGGGGATTTGTTCTTGTATTCTTATGCGCTAAGTAAATATTAGTCTTAGAAGCAGGTGGATTTATTGACGTTGTTGATGGTTGCAGGTGAGAGCACAGAGCCGGGATAAGCAGATAGAAGAAAGGATGCTGTCCCACAGGCAAGATGACAACAACAGGCATGCAACCAGGCACCAGGTACGGGCCTTGTTAAAGCTCTGGCCGTTCAGTTTGAGAGCCAAGTCTTGGATCTCCTGTGCCCATGACTGTCTTTAGGTATATCTATGCCTCTTATTTCCTATGGTATGTCTAAATAACTGGTCTTTAGAAACTCAGAAACATATTTGATTTCCAAATAGTAAATTTTTATGAAACAAACAATTCTACCTCATAAATGAAGGAATCATGCTATCTATAATAATTGTAATATAATAATAATAAAAGATAATCCTGATTATTTGAAAGATTGTACTTGCTGCTCTATTGCCTCATTTTGCATCTACTTTTTAACCCATTGTAATTTACCTTCAAACCCGTCTACTCTGCTGGCATGTTTCCAAGGTCACCAGTGACTTTTCGTTAGCATTTGACATTTGTTACTTATATCATTTTTCTTCTTCTCTCTTCCCTTGAATTCTAAGATGCTGCTTTGCCCTAATCCTTGTGCCTCTCTGAACATCCATACCTGTTGATTACACTTAATTCTTTGTTCCTCCCCTAATGCCTTTGGTCTTTACTCTTGCTGCTTTTCTGCCTTGAACTCTATACCTATACCAAGAAGAAATTGTGTTTATTCTTCAAGGCCTTGTGCAACTGTAAAATGTTGTAGGAATTCTTCCCCAAAATTCTCTTACCATTAATGAGTTCTTCTTCATGCATTCCCATTGTAATATTCTCAGAATGTTAGTTTAGCCCTTGTCACATATTGTACGTACATAGCTCATCATATAGATGTCTGTTTTTATGGTTAGATTATAGGTGGATAGCAGAGGAAGCATAGCGGTGAGGGAGAAGTTTGACTTGGGAGTCAAACAGATGTGGGTTTGAACACTTTGATTCTGTTACGCTAGCAGTGTGGTGTTGGTAACTTCCCTAAACTTTATTTCCTTGTTAATAAAAATGAGTAAGACTTACCTGTCAGGGTAATCAACTAAATTATGCATATAAGGTACCTATCCCCAGTGCTGGGCAGGTAATAAGCACTCTATAAGTGGTAGCTACACTTTTCTTCATAGTCTATCTTGGGTTCTGTTCTTACTCAGTTTTTAAATTTTTATTCATTTTTGTATTAGTACTTGGAAAACAGTAAGCATTCAATAAATGCTTATTGAATTGACATGATCTTTATTTTATTCCTGTTGGCTTTTGTGAAGACTTGCATCCTTAATTTATGTTCTGTTTGGTTTAATATTAAAATAAGTACATTCCTGAACTCATTAACTGACAGTAAGCACAGTGGTCTAGGTGATGAGGGGACTCAATTTGGAATTTTTTAATTGCCAATAGTATATTCACAGGGCTATAACACATCTGGCATCACCTGTTCCCCCTCTTATTTATTTATTGTTGTTACTTTCATTTTGAAATGAATTAGATGAGTTTTCCTGCTAGCTTCTCAATTTTCTCCTTTTTCCTTTTAGGCACCAACAGAGAGGCAGCTACGTTATAAGGAAAAGGTTGCTGAACTCAGGAAGAAAAGAAATTCTGGGCTAAGCAAAGAACAGAAAGAGAAATACATGGTAAGAAAAAGTTAAATATTTAATTATAAGCATGACCTCTTGCCACCCCATTTGATTCCTTTCGGTTTCTAAGCGTCTGCTTTTCAGATTTGCCATTTGGTATCCTCTATAAGTGTAAGGAGTCTTCTCTGGCAGTTAAAATTTACTAGACTACCCCAAAACTGTGCTGTTAAGAGTGGAAACAGGAGGTCTTCCAAAAACAAAATACTGTTAGAATTTAGATGAAAAAATTCAACCCTCTAGTTGTTTGTAAACCTTATTACTTAAGCTTTAAAAGGTTAATTTACACACTCAGACAAATACCGTGATAATGGATATGTCTGTAAAAGGAAAAATAAGATAAGCTGTAGTCCACTTATTTTAATGGGAAAATAAAATTGCTACATGATAAAAGGTATTAATTCTATAATAGATCTTTTTTATAGTATTTAAACTTTTTTCCTTGTTTTAAAAGTAATGCACATTTGTAAAATGTAGAACAATTAAGGAAAGAATACAGGGGCCAGCCGAGTGGCACGTTGGTTAAGAGTTGGCTTGGGATGCCAGAGGGCCCTGGTTCAGATCCCACATATGAGGGCCAGTGACACTGCCCTCCACAGCTAAGATGCTGAACAACAGCTCAACCTGGAGCTGGGCTGCCCTGAGTCGCCGGCGACTGCATGGGCTGCAGCCCTTGCTGCAGTGGGTTGTCATGGGCTACCGTGTGTGGCCAGCAGCCAGCGTGAGCGGCCAGCAGCCGCCATGAGCGGCCATCCAGAAGCCGGCGACTGATATGCCTCGCCCGGAAAGAGTGCAATGATGGTGCCAACTTGGGCCAGTGAAGCAACGTCCTCCACAACTAGACTGAAGAACAAAAGGACAGCAACTTGTCTGTTCCCATCCCCCAATTCCCCAATTTAAAAAAAATAAGAAAAAGAAAAAAATA